TAAGGAAGGGATTGAGTACTATTCTGGAGCTCATCTTGGACATAGTTTGCATGTCTCTAAAGATGAGATGGGTAGATTTTTAGGCCCATTTTAAAGGAAGAGTAAGTTTGATGCATTTTTGTTTAAATGGAGTGGACTTAAATGGGCTTTGTTTCATTTCCTTCATTGTTGCCAGTAGCAGTGTTTCTCTTGCCGTTGTCTTTTGGCTAACATGCCACACACCAGCACCACATTTATACCCTTTGGCAACTGCTTTTTCTTTCTTTCCTGGAAACTTTCCATGGACTGGTGAACAGTGACTCATGGACCAGTTTGACTAGCATTGCTGTGTAGGAGATGCAACCCAAGCCATTGAGGCTTCAACGTTGAGGAAAGATGGACTGTTGGACCAAATGCACAACTAATGTTCTTCAGTTGAGCTATTCTTCAGATATCAAAAAAAGAGAGACCTAGTTGGATTTTTATGAACTGTTCAAACCATCAGTTTATTGTGGTTTAGCTCATTTGTTTATATATATATATAAAAGGTATTTCCAGTCACTACAGATTTGTGGGATTTCTTTTTGTTCTTTTGATCTTGTATTGTTATTAATTCCAGGTTGAACTCAGACATATGGTGAAGCTAACCTGGGATTTATTCAGAAGATAGCATATAACAACAACAACAACAACAACAAACAATTACGGCATCACTCTCCCTGTTATAGGGCTTGTTGACAGAAGAAATCCTAACATGACCCTAAGAGGTCTTTCCAGCTACAGTCAAAGCCCAAGAAAAGTTTTTGAGGAGTCTTGGTTTTTACTGTGTTATTTGGTTCACTGCTTCAGAAAATTGCATTGGACAGACTGCATCAGCTCTAGTTTCTTATATAAGTCTATCATGGTTTTCTATGGAGACTGGTATATGGCGTATGATCTGTATCTCAAAAACTAAGGTTGATAGGGGGAAAGTGGGGCCATTTTTGGAATCAACGGGCCAAATAGACCCAGAAACAGGACTAATCCTTGAGGCACCAAAATGTGTTGCCCAGTGTAATTTTCCATAGCCTCCATCGACAGTATTTTGAGAATCCTTTTTTTATAATTTGGGAGTTTTTTTTTCATGTCAGGAGCGACTTGAGAAACTGCAAGTCACTTCTGGTGTGAAAGAATAGGCTGTCTGCAAGGATGTTGTCCAGGGGGACACCTGGGTGTTTTACCATCCTGTGGGAGGCTTCTCTCATGTCCCTGCATGAGAAGCTGGAGCTGACAGATGTGAGCTCACCCTGCTCCCTAGATTTGAACAGCTGACCTGTTGGTCAGCAGTCCTGCCGGCACAAGGGTTTACCCCACTGTGCCACTGAGGGCTCCTATTATTTGGGAGATAAGAACTTTTTTGAAGGATCCCTCCAAAGAACTAAACCTTATTTGGGAGATTGGAGTGATTCTTAAAAGTTCAGACTGTAGCTCAGAATGGAATCACTACTCCATTGGGCAGAAAGAATAAGATCTCCCCTCTTCCAAAACAAAAATTAGGGCAAATCTGTGAATGTAATATGTATTGCTTCTCAAAAATAAAAAAGTTGACTTCACTTGGTCTCAGACACATACTCCCATTTGGATCCTTTCAGAACAAAATGGAAAAGGGAGCCAGGGAGCAGCACAGCACTTATGCAGCCACGTGCATCACATTTTCAGAAAGTTTGGCCAGATGTTCGGAGACCAACCTGCTTTGGGCGATGGCAGCTTGATGGATCTCTTCATGCCTAATTAAGACCCATCTTCCAAGGAGAATGAGATGGGGAAAGGGGGATTGGGTGGCTCAGGTGGAATTCACATGCATTTGATGCTTTGCAAAAGGGCCCTAATAACTTCCCATATCACAGCTGGTGCAGCTTTCAACATAACTCCCTCACTCCCTGCCTCTTGTCTAGGTTGTTTCCCATCTATTTCTTAATTTTGCATCTCTCATTCTCTTCTATTGCCTCTTGCACGCAGGAAAGGTCATTCTAGTTACTGCAATGCCCAGAATCCCCTTGTTGGCAAGGTGAGGGCATTCCGGGGGGCGGGGGGGTTGTAATCCATACAGAAGAATATTCCTATCCTCTTTGGAAGGACTGTACACAGATCCATTTTTTTTAATGGCCTGGTTCAGCTCTGTCGACCAGCCGTAACGGCATGGGTGTTGCCACCATTTTTTTCCGGCCACAACAGACCACGCAGCTGCTGACAATGACTGCTTTCGGTTTCATTCAGCTACACATTTAGTGTGGAGAGAAGCCACATGTGCAGCTACAACTGCACCAGGAGCTCCAATTTTGTTTGCTTTGCATTTAATATTTGTTATAGTCCTAAGTTTCAGGGACTCAGCAGATAGGTGGCTTCTTTTGGCTGCAATCATAGGGCAAGCCACCTGTCAATTATAGTTAGGTTTCCTGGTCCCGCCCCCTTTTTGGGTTTTTGGAGGGAATAGGAGCCTTTTTGGGTTCAGTCCACACACAGAAGCTTTCCATGCAGGACATAATACCAAGAGCTCCTGTAGGAAGCTTCGTCTTCTACAGCTTCTATAACCCCAAGCTGTGGGGTTATACAGCCCACAGCTTGGCCAAGGATCATACAGCCTTACAGCTCCTTTGCTGAGGGACTTCAGTCAGCCATCACTGAAACCTGAACTCCTTTTTCCCTGGAAGTCTACAAAGCTCTGCTTGGTAAGGGTCACTCGTGGAAGCCAGACGCAGTTGGTACCGGGTGTAGGGGCTCCATGCCAACAGAGGCAAAGAAAGACTGCCCAGATTAGAAGTTAAGGATTTCCCCATTAGTTAAAATACCAGTCATGAAGATAGTGCCTGTTCCCTGTGGACAAGATTGAAAGAGCCTATAGACTGTTAAGAAAGGTTTAAAGTACCTGTTTGTTTTCATCAATAAAGAACATTGCTGAACATTTAAGCAATCTAAAGACTCTGTTTTAAGGAAATCCAAAGGCCTTTAATCTGAGGCAGCCCCGGCGTCCTGTTGGGCACACAGAATTTATGTCCTGTCTACAGTCTTATGCACAGGCCCAGCGTGTGACAGCACACCACATGTTTGCATGGGGTTTCCCAGTGAGTACTACCTGTTGAGCCAATCAGAACAGAAAAAAGCCATGACATGTTTTTTAGCCAAGCTGGGCCTCCATTTTTCTCTTGCGAGCAGGCTTCTAAGAGAAATAGATCATGCTCCAGTAAGCTTGTGGTCTAAATGCCGCTCACTGCTCTGTATTGCTTGCCTTGCTTTTTGAATCAAATAGCAATAAATAAGTGTTTACTTCCTACACACTTTAGAAACTGCCACCGATGATGCCCTTCACATGACACAAGCTTTAAATGTGGAGTAGAGATATCTTTGCATTTCTAAAAATGACAAAACAAGGTGGTAATTTATCTTTTTAAACAATGGCTAAACCTCCTTCAGGTGGTGTGGCTCCCACTGAAATAAGTGTTTTTAAAAGGTGCCTTAATTCTGCTTCATTGAAAGAGTATTGAGGGCAAACGATTCCAGAAAGGGTGGTTTCTTAAGTCTGATGGCTTAAACCTAGGTCTTATTGAAGGATATGAGGAGGAACAACCCCAGAAAAAATGGTTTCTTAAGTCTAATGTCTTCATCCCAGGTTTTATGAAGGATATAAGGAGAAACAATGCCAGAAAGGGTGGTTTCTTAAGTCTGACGGTTTAAACCTAGGTCTTATTGAAGGATATGAGGAGAAACAATCCCAGAAAAGTTGGCTTCTTAAGTCTGATGCCTTAAACCCAGGTCTTATTGAAAGATATGAGGAGAAACGATTCCAGAAAAGTTGGCTTCTTAAGTCTGATGCCTTAAACCCAGGTCTTATTGAAGGATATGAGGAGAAACGATTCCAGAAAAGGTGGCTTCTTAAGTCTGATGCCTTAAGCCCGGGTCTTATTGAAGAACATGAGGTGAAACGATCCCAGAAAAGGTGGTTTCTTAAGTCTAATGCCTTCAACCCAGGTTTTATGAAGGTTATAAGGAGAAACAATGCCAGAAAGGGTGGTTTCTTAAGTCAGATGCCCTAAAAATGACAGAAAGGGAAGACTGGGAAGTTCCCTACTTCCACCAATGGGCTGAATCTTCCCAGAGCAAAAAATGGATCTTGCAGCTGCCAGATCAAAAAATGGAATTTTGCCCACTCAAACTTGGAAGGCTCCCAAAAATGGATTTGGGGAAGGGGAAAACTGAAATTTGGACACTGAAAATGGTATAAGATTTAGCCAAATTGCACACCCCTACTCACCGGTGCTTCTTCTTGGGAAATCTTTTTATTTCTGTACATTCCCAAACATCTCTGTTTTCTGCGTAGACTTGCCCTGGAGGATCTAGAGATTCCTAATCAGATCCATGAATGATCAGTTCTGCAAAAGCTAAACCCACAAATGGGAAGGGCCAGCTGTGCTGTCTATCTTTGTATTGTTTTTTTATTATTATTGGGTTGCTTCAATTAGATTTTTTAAAACTTTGTAGTTCATATATTCTTATCTACAACTCTCTTAACTATTGTAATGTGTCTTGAATCTCAGACTGGGAAACAATCTGGAGGAGGAGAAGGGGGGAAAGTGAGAGTCAACTGGTGCAGAGGGTAAGGAATCCATTGAAAACAACAAAATTGATCAATCTCATAAAAATGTTAAAGGAGTAAACTAAAACATGAATGCAAAGTCAAACAGAAGTCTCTAGTTTGCCTTTGGGAAGGCGATATTGGGGTTGGCTTTGGAGTTGCTTGCCTTCATGATTTCCGCTTAAAAGTGGGGTCCTCATACAGCCCATGGGCCACATTTCCCTATTGTTATAGAAGATATTTTCTTACTTGTATATAAGTGACATTATTGTTGACAAGGATAAATGTCATTCAACCTACTTGTTTACCCAATCTTGCTTTACTCATTTATTTTGTGACATTGTTTAATGCAATCGAGATTCGGTAGGTAACCCTTTGTTTCACTTTTTTTGTCCATCCTGGAGCCAGGTCTTCACACCTGAATGGCCCGGGCCTCCACAACCCTTACTGTGACGACTTTCTCCCAGTCGAGACGGGCATGAGTGATGGGCAACTGCCTCCGGAAGGACTTCAAATAGGTGCCGTTCATGTGCTGATACTCCTCCATCAGCCCACGCTGGACCGCATTTTCCACCTTCTCCACCAGCTTCACAAACTCTTGTGCTGTCTGGATCTTGTCGGTAACCAGTAGAGTCTCTTCTACATCCTTGGCAACATTCAGATGCATGTTGGCATCCTCAAAGTAGTGTGCTTGAATCAGAACATTCCCTGTCACCTCTGTGGAGGTGGAGGAAGGAACCAAAGCAAATGTCCATTCTGATCTCCACAAACCATTCCAGAAGGCAGAGGGTCTGTGCCGATGGCTTTCTATACAAGCCACAAAGATTGTCCGGACGGCTGTGTCCTTGATGAAGACGCTGCAAAGCCCTTCTGGGTAGTGTTTGTCAACGTAGACCTTCAAGGCTTCATGGAATTCTCTTCTCCATGCTTCTCCTTTCTTGTCTTCTTCATGGTGAGCCTGGAAATCGCTTGGCATCCTCCTCAGATGGTCATACTTGAAGGAGACTCGATTCTGTGGGTCCAGGAAGCGGTTCTCTTCCAACTCGTTGTGACGGGTCAACAACACATTGCACCTTTCTGTTTGGACCGGAGTGAAATGGTCCTTGTCGTGTATGGCGCAGAGGTTTTCAGCTTCCTCGCACATCATGGCATCATCATCTACAAGCATGCGCAAGTCACTGAAGACCTCTTTGAATTCTCCAGGCGGGGCTTGCTTCACGAGACGACTCACCAGCTGAGCTTTCTCCAACTTCGCCACAAGGTGGTCTCCAGACGTTTGTTCATGGGCCATGTTGGCCTGGCTAAGGAACACCAAATCTGGGAACAGGGGAAAGTGAGAAACATCCCAAAGATGTAATAAGATGTAACACTCATTAGGAACCATTTTGAACCCCAATAAAAGTTCTTCAAGCCTTTGAGAAGACAAGAGTCAATCAGGCAATGACACCTATCATCTCTTGAGCTGTCAGATATAGACCCAGCTCATAGAAGGCTAGGAGAACATGGAACAAGATTCTTTTAAAGAAAGATGAGGTGAAGAAATAGCTGCAGGTCCATCCAAACAAAAACAGTACACAGTAAAACCTCCATATCTGCAGGGGATGCGTTCCAAGACCCCCGTGGATAGCCAAAACCGGGGATAATAGAGAATCCTATATCTTGGACTATATTTGGAGGTCTAGAGAAGACTCCAAACACTTCCAAGGGGACATTTTTGGATCATAGGTATGTAAAACTATGGATGTCAAATCCATGGATAAATGAATCATATCATATAGCAAATCAGCATGGTATGGCGAAAATCCTTCACTCGTGCTCTCTCATAATAGAAGACCTTAAGGTCTTCCATTGAAGCTAACTGATAGAAGAATCCAATTCTTCAGATAAGGACACAGACATATGAATTGTGGTTTGCTATTGCCTTCTTCTGAAAGAGTGGAACTTGCCCAATGTCAGCCATTGGTTTTCCAATCAAACACTGGTCTCCAATGGTCAGACCACTACACTATGCTAGCTCTCCACTGTTTGTTCTAGTTGTGTGGCAGCAAGTTGGACTAGATGGCCTTTTGGGCCCCTCAGAACCCAAAGATTCCATGATTATATCTGTTGAGATCATTTCCAGATGAATGGTTCCTCATACTAGAAACTGAAAAAAAAAACGGATCTATAATTTTCTTAGTTTCTGTGAAAAGGAAAAATGTTGGAAGAAGAAGGAGCAAAATGAGGGGAGTGCAAGCAGATGTTGTCATCTTCCAAAGACCCCATAACGCTCAGTGAATGAGGCAGGTTGATAACATGATGAAAGTGCTGCCAAGCTCTCTGTTGTTGCCGTTGTTGTTTGTTTTGCTGCAACAGGCTACCAAGGCTAATATTTAGGAAATTGTTTTGAGTGGGTTCTGTGCCTAGATTTGAGCTATCTCTAATTGCACCATTCTTTTTCAGGGGGTGAAATGAACATTTAATGAGTACCTTAATCAGCAATTCTGCCTAATTAGCTAAGTGGGAAATGCTGAGATTGGAATTTACAAACAGAGCAGGATAATGTTTTGATTTGCTATTCCGGGCACAATGCAAACAACCTTAAATGGATCAAAACATCCGGGTATCCCCTGGGCAACATCCTTGCAGACGGCCAATTCTCTCACACCAGAAGCAACTTGCAGTTTCTCAAGTCGCTCCTCACACAGAAAAAAAAAATTCAGGGATGTTGGGTGTAGAAATATCCCTTGTTTCCCTGAGCTTCAAGCAGGTAACTCTGGCATTACAAGACTATTTTCCATCTGTGCTTTCCTATTTCATATTTGTTTAAACCTTTGTCCTCCTTGCCACTCAATTGCCTTTGTTTCCCTTTATCCTCACCTAGAACACACAGCTCTGTTGAACCGGCAACTTCACAGCACCGAAGGGAGATCCTTGGAGAATTCTTTCGGCCAGGTTCCGTGACTTGATTGAACCCAGAACGGCACATTCTACGCTCCCATAGCAACTCAGAGAGTTGCTATGGGTGGCTTTCCTTCCAATAATAATACTCATCATCGTAGTTTTATTTCTAGCCTGCCTCCCCTCATGGCTTGAGACAGGTTACATCTTTACTAAAACATAAATAAACACATAATTGTTTTACAACATTCTGTAAAATGGACAAATTAAAACAAACCTCCATAAAATATGTATCAAAATACACAAAACAAAAACAAGGCATACTGTGGAGTTTAAAATTCACCATTAATTCTGGTCTGGGTAATTAAGTCTGGGTAGGCCTGCCAGAAGAGATAGGTCTTCACTTGTGTTTTAAATAGTTGTAGTTCTTCTGACAGGTCATTCCACAGTCTTGAAGTGGCTGATGAAAAGGTCCTCTGGGTGGTGGTTGGCAGTCAGGTTCTGGCTGGTTGGAGTAACCGCCCCCTAAAAGACCTCAGAGTTTGGGGCGGATTGTGCAAGCAGAGTTTGGGGCGGATTGTGCAGGTTACCTACCTTCCTGTAGGTAACCTGATCCCAAACCATGCAGGGCTTTAAAGGTCAAAACCAATATCTTGCACTTTGCTCAGAAACCGCTTGGCATCCAGTGGAGTGACTTTAGGATTGGTATGATATGCTCAATCCTAGATGTTCCCGTAACCAGTCTGGTTGCCATATTTTGAACCAGTTGGAGTTTCCGAACTTGGTACAAGGGTAGCCCAATGTAGAACGCATTGCAGAAGTCCAACCTTGAGGTTACTTGTGCATGCACTATCATCTTCAGATCCTCCAAATTTAGAAAGGGGCACAGCTGGTGGATCAGCCAAAGCTGATAGTTAGCACACCTGACCATTGTCGCATCTCCCTGGACCGACATTTGGAGAGATGGATCCAGGAAAATCCCAAGCTGCAGACACTCTTTCAAGGGTAAAAGAGAGAAACGTGCCAGGAGGAAGGCGCGTCAAGCCAACCCCGACCGGAACCGCCTTCCACCTGGAAACCAATGCCCACATTGCGGAAGAAGATGCAGAGCAAGAATAGGGCTCCACAGCCACATATGGACCCACAAGGAAACCCATAATGGAAGACCATCTTACTCGTCCAACGAGGGATCGCCTAAGTAAGTAAGTAAGTACTTTCAAGGGAAGTGTAACCCCACCCAGGCCTGGTTTGCACACCTCCATCCCCAGATGGACCTTCATGGCATGCGCCTCTGTTTTGTCTGGATTCAGTTTAAATTTGCTTTTCCTCCTCCTGCCCATTACTTCCTCCAGGCATTCATTCAGAGGAGACACACTATCCTTAGCAGAGGCTGTTTTTGAAGGCATGGAGAAATATATTGGTGTCATCAGCATACTGATAACCCCCCACTCCATGCCTACAGATGAACTCTACCAGTGGTTTCATGTAAATATTAAAGAGTATTGGGGATAGAACGGCACCTTGGGTGCTACCGTATAGCAGCTCCTTTTTGGAGGAGCAGCTATTCCCAAAAGCCACTATCTGGAACCTGCCTGAGAGGTAAGACTGGAACCATTGAAACACCGTGTCTCAATTCCCAGACCCCTTTTCAGGCACTCCAGAAGGATACCATTATTGATGGCATCGAAAGCCACTGAAAGGTCTAGAAGCACCAACAGGGACACACTATCCCTGTCGGTGTTGATGGAGATCATCCACTAAGGCGACCATCACAGTCTCAACTCTGTATCCTGCTCTGAAGCTGGTTTGAAATGGGTCAAAGAAGTGTGTGTCATCTAAGACTGTCTGGAGTTGGAGGGCAACTGCCTTCTCAACCACCTTGCCCAGAAAAGGGAGCTTAGACACTGGTCAGTAGTTATTAAGGTCATTAAGGTCCAGGGGATCCAGGCAGGGCTTTTTCAGCAGTGGTCTAACTACCGCTAAGAAGCAGAGGGCAACCTGAGGACAAGAACCCAGAGTCATTTTGAGGTCAGAAGGGACTTTAAGAGGAACATGTCTCATGTGAGGCATCTTTTAAGCACAAGATGTGATGCTTTTTCACAGGTCTCTGTAATCTATGGCCAGTAGGGGGACTCTAAGACTGCATCTATACTGCAGAATTAATATCGTTTGACACCACTTTAACTGCTGTGACTCAGTGCTATGGAATCATGGGAGTTTTGTTTTCTCTGCCAACTACTGCTACCATGATTACACAATATTGAGCAATGGATGTTAAAGTGGTGTCAAACTGCCTTAATTTGACAGTGTAGATGCATCTGTGGAGTCCTTCAGAACAGGCCCATAGCCAGGATTTCGATTCGGGGGGGGGCTGAGGGATTTTGATTCAGGAGGGGCTGAGTTTGATTCGGGGGAGGAGGGGCTGAGTCTGAGTGAAGAAGGGTCAACCCTAGCAAACCATTTTTATTGTTACCCCAATACCCCCATGCATATGGGATATATTGAGTATAGTGATCAGATCGTGATATAGTCTAAATAATGTACCAGTACGGCCTTCTCACGGACCACCCTGAGAATTTGGGAGGGGGGGGGTGAAGCCCTCAGCCCCCCCCCCCCCCCCCCGCTACATGCTTGCCTTGCTTGATCTACCAAATTCCCTGCACCCCTCAGCATTGACCATCTTGGCTACTCTGGGACCAGAGTAAAGAGAGGGGCAAAGAAGACAGTGCCATCTTGTCTTCAGGGTCATCAGCTGGGAGCCCCTTCCCCAACACCAACTGCTGCTCTGGGACCAGAGTATAAAGGGGTCCAAGAAGATATTGTATTTATTTTATTTATTGTATTGTATATTACTTGTAATCCACTCTGAGTCCCCTTTGGGGTGAGAAGGGTGCCATATAAATGTCATTAAATAAATAAATAAATAAATAAATAAATAAATAAATAAATAGTATTGATGGGACTTCAGCTCAACCATCAGGGAATAGAATCATAGAGTTGGAAGAGACCCCAAAAATCTTCTGCCTCTTCTGCCATGCAGGAAAATCCAACCAAAGCACTCCCAACAGATCACCATTCAGCCTGCTGCTTCACAACCTTCAGAGAAGGAGACTCTACTAGGCTCCAAGGTGGCACGTTTGACCTCAAACAGAGCTAATCATCAGGAGGTTCTTCCTAACATTAAGTGGAATCTCTTTTTCTCGGCATTTGACTCCATTGCTCCACGTCCTCGCTAACAAGTCTGCTCCATCTTAGATATGATGTCCTGTCAAATATATAAATGTGGCTATCATAATGTTCTCCTCAGCCTTTTCCCCTCCAAGAAAGTCCCCAGGTTGCTCTTAAGAGGGATTCATAGTTTCCAAACCTTTGGTCATTTTGGCTGTCCTTCTTGGGGAACTCTCCAGTTTGTCCACATCCTTCTTTGTGGAGCTTGGTTTCTTCCTTGTAGCACTCTTTGTGGTAACATCACATCTTTCTCTTCCCACAATAGATACATTTATAGATCTTCTCTGCTCTTCTGAAATCTTCAGCAAATCCTGTTTTGTCATATACTCTTCGCTTGGAGTTTCTTGTTGGTTATATATAACGGAGAGTACAACCGATGAGATGCCTTCTGTATTTCTTCATTGTTCGTGATTACTAGGGCTGTGTAAAATTATCGCTACTCTTAATAAGTCAGATCAAATTTGTTAAATGCATGCATATGAATCAATATTAGAAACATGCAGGAAAGGGAGAATTTTAGAATTGAAACTCTCAATTCAATCATTTTTGTTAAGATTCTGTAACATTCGGATGCCTCCAAAGTCAGCTTAATTTTTCACATTTTTTAAAATATTTTTTATTAAGGTTATGTATAACTACATAGAAAGAGGGGGAATATTTAGAAGGAGATAGAAAAGTAGGAATAATAGCAATATATAAAAAAAGGAAGAAAAAGAGAGAGAGAAAAAGAGAGATTGACTTCCATTCCATCTTCAGGTTCTTCCTCTCATTTATTTTCTAATTCTTATTCAAATCTTCATTTTCTCTTGTTCTCTTCTATTTTTATCATAGTCATGAAAAAGGTCCCAATCAGTACTTTTTATCAATTTCCCGGTATTCTTTTTTAATAAAAAAGTTAGTTCGTCCATGTCTCTTATTTCTCTTACCTTAGCCAGCCAATCATCAAGGGCTGGAATTTTTTCCTGTTTCCAAAATTTCGTGAAGATAATTCTTGCCGCCGTCGTAACATATGTAAATAACTTGTCATCATTTTCATTAAGCTGTAACTCCAAATCTGTAAAGCCTAGCAAATAGTACCCAGGTTTCTTTTTAAATGATCTTTTCAAAAAAAATTTGTGTCCCCTCATGGACCAGTGTCCAATATTTCAAAGTTTCCTTACAAGTCCACCACATATGATAGAATGTACCTACCTCTTCACAACCTTTCCAACACTTGTCGGAAATATTTTTATACATGTGATCCATTTTTTTTTGGAGTGGTATACCACCTGTGGAACATTTTAATCCAATTTTCCTTCAAATCTGTTGCATAAGTATATTTTAATTTTCTGTTCCACATCCGTTCCCACTCCCTAAATTGAATTGGCCTTCTTAAATTCTCCGTCCATTTAATCATACATGATTTAACCTGTTCACTTTCAGTTGCCCATGTTAACAACTTATTATAAATTGTTGTTATTGTTTTCTTTTCCATCTTCAGTATCTTATCCCACGTTGTCTTCCCAGTCAAATTGTAATTTTTTTATCTTGTTTATAATACTCTTTCATCTGTAAATAATGGAGCCAAGTAATATTCTCATATGTATCTTTCAATCGTTGAAATGTCTTGATGTCGGTTGTATTTTAGACTAAAATGTCTCTATTTGTTGGCCACAATCTCCAACCTAAGAATCTTCTTTGATGGGCCTCCATTGAGGAGACCCATAGTAGTGTCTTATTATAAAATATTTTTTTTTATATTTCATCCAGATTCTTTGGAAAATGGTTTCCAAAGTTTTTTTTCTTTAGTTTCTCTATCATACAATGTGTAGGCATGCCAGCCCACATGTAGGTCATAACCCTCTAAGTTTAAACATTTTT